CTATCAACTCTTGTGGTAATGCATCGTCTGGGCTGAGTCTGTCATTGATTCCACAAACCAATTTATTTCTTATGGCAGCTAATAATCCAGCATCACAGCAAAATCTAACAAATTTTCAAATCATTGAACCATTGTTCTATGATGAATTCAATACCGTCGATCCAATTTTTCCTGAATGGACACTAGAACGAATGCCAAGAAACGTTAATATGAAGCGAATTAGGTTGGATAAGAATAAGCTGCTAGGTAAATGGCTCTATGAAAGTTATAATACAAAGGGAAGGTAAATTGTCTTATTGAACAAGTCGAAATAAACTTTTCATTTATTTCATAGATTCTGCTGCATAAAATGTATTACAAGAGGTGTTGCAGAAAATGATGCTACATGGTCTTCATCTTATACTACTGTTCTGTTTCGAGCATACTATGGACCAGATACAGATGAATATGGGCAACACTGGATTGGTGGATGGATTCAAATGAAAATCTGAAACAATATGCTTTTTTTTACATTTAGTTCATCGGAACAGAGTGTGCATGTGCATTCTCTTTTCATAAGCAATAAAGAGCCAAAGTGCACAGAAATGAAGTTTCATGTAATATGAAGAAATGAAAAATAAAGTAATATTCTTATCTTATTTGCTACATAAAGAATACAATAATAGACAGTTCTTGTCATATTTAATACAATTAAATTGATTGCTTTGATGACAACATTATATGGTTTCTTTTTGAGTTGAATCAGCTTCAGAGATTCTAATAGTTTTACATTCGTTCATACCTTAAGAAAGCGACTCAACCAGATCAAGAAGATATATATGTTTCAATCACATTTTATTACGTTTGATTTTGGTTGTTTTGGCTTCTTGTATACGATTTCAGATTGAATAAACGATGAATTTTGTCAAGCAGCCGAAGAAACCTGTTCTATTAATTGATAATCGTCAGTTGCATCAGTGAAAGCCTTTATTTCATGAAGACGACGTCGGTGATCTTTATTGTTCCATGATTTTAAAGCTTTAGCTACCACTTATTAACATTTAAAACTACAGTACAATATTTAATCATGATATATATTTAAAGTCAAACGATTACACTGTTGCATTTCCTGAAACCATCTTTCGACAGTAATACGTACACTTATGAAAGCGTTCGATATTCAGATCATCAAGTGAGGTCTTCCTACTGTTTGACTACGATTTATTACAGACAACTAAAAAACACAACAATTCGAGATATAATGGTGAAGACGAATAATAGTCCATCCTGCTTTTTGTTTACACTCAGCAGAGTTTGTTGCTGATATAAGAACTATAGAAAGTAAAAGCAACACATTTTTGTATTCTTAAAAAAAAAAACGATGATTTCTCAATTATTTCGGGGCAGCAAAGGTTTTTCCGGAATAATTTCTCTGAACAACTAGATGAAGCAGTTTGTATATAATTATTCCATGCGATCTTAAATAACTTTCCTCATTAGTCACTGCATTAGAATCATATGTCAGGAAAATATTTATATTTTTCAGGCAGAAAATCCAAGTGGTATCGACCACACTCGATAGAATCCCTTTTTTGTCTGATGTCAGTGATCAAATAACATTGCACAACTGTTTTGAATCACCAATGATTTTAATCTTTCGTCTAATTCTTCAATCCATTGTTCAATATGTTTACTACAATCGTTTCGAAGCTTGCTTCAATCATTCAACTTTATTTTAAAACCATCAAAACATCTTGATTTTGTTTATTCAATCTAATCAGATAATGCTGGATTCATCGATGATATTGATTAAAATATTCAGTAACTTAAAATTAGCCTTTTTTTCTGTTAGTGATAGTAAAGTCTACAGAAGAAAATAAAATTGAAAAAATTGAAAAATCTTGCCGCGAATGTATTTGAAAAGTGTACGAACTTATCTAGTACACTTTAGCGCAAACCATGATGCATATGTAACAGAAATACGAGTTCATCTTACAACAATATCCAAGTCTAAAAAACGTTTTACATTTTCACAATCTGTATTCGATGACTTAATATTCCAATAGAATTTGTTATAAACATGTTAACAGTAGTTTTAAGATCCTAAATAGAATCAATTCTTATTATATTATTTTATGATTATTCGATATTTAAAGATGTGGATGAATATTATGAATGATTGATTTTATATATATACACTTGCCAAGAAATATCCATCGAATATCAAATATTCTTTTCACTCTAAAATCTGATATTAGCATAAAAGCGTGCTAAGGCTTCAACTTGAACTGACAACGTATACCACTTCCAAAATAATGGTTAATATGACTATGGTGGTTTCAAGTTTAACAACAGAATCGCCAATAACAGGCTTTAGATAATCTATAGTAAAATAAAAATCTAATGTCTTAGATTTTAAATGTAAACGAAAACTACATAAGAAAAGCCTTTGGCAAATATGATACTTTACTATCAACAAAAGCAAATGGATGAGAAACAAATAGATTTGACTCTTGCCATTCTATGGATAAATGGCGTTTCAAACTCACAATAACATCTTCATGATCAAAAAAAGAAATTTTATTATATTGAAAAGAATTAATTATAACATAGCATGGTACTTACCAGTGAAAGTTGACACATTACCTGTGACTAACCAGTATGGGTTTGTTGAATGTAGATCATCTTCACCGCACGTACAGATTAATATTTTTATAATATTAATGGCAGTACCATTATTATCTAAATCAAGTGGTTCATAATACGCTGTTTTTGGTTGATAATTTTCATAATATCTGACATAAATGATGCAGAGTTTTTTATTTGTTGTGCATTCAGTTTCATCCATCATCCATCCTTGAAGAGTCAAAGCAATCGTCAAATTAAATAGACATGCCTCAAAATTGGCATACCTATATAGTGGCACTTTTCTTCATGTTTTCAATTAGTTCTTCATGTAAATAAGTAGCAATATGTTGGATAAAGCACAAAGCAGCTGCATCATTACGATAGTTGACTCCTGAAACTTCAGTCGTTAGTCAATTTACTCCTAATTTATCTAACAATACACACAACGGCTCCATGCTATTAAGAGAATTATCTTGTTGGCAGAAGTAAGTATATGGTAGCATCAGATTCGTTATGGCTTGTTCATTGCTGATTTATTGTTTTTGAGCTTCATATCGATCAGGCTGGATTCAGCAAGAAATCGCTAGCTGTTGTGTTTTCGTCTATTTATGAATTGCACTTTTGTTCTTAGGAAGTTTAACTTTATCTAGTAAAATCGTGGTCATACCTGTTTCACACCAGACATTATCCTTTTCTATATAAACAATTGTCACTTTATTAGTTTTGAATAATATTTTCCCAGACTATAGAAGAAAGAAAAAAAAAATTGGTATAAAAAGATTTTAACTCTACATTAAAATGGCGGACGATCGTCTTCTAACATTATCTCTTACCATTAGTATTTTTGGTTTTATCATATTTTTCACATAACTAACAATGTGCTCCTTTTTCTTCATAATACAATCAATATGTCAGTTTTTCGCCTTTTCCGTAAAAATCATCAAATACATAGGTGTTATGTTGTGTTTCAACTCTATTTTCGAAGTAGATAAATAAAGGGTGGTCCATAAGTTTCGACCCCTCTCTGTAAATTGACATTATCTATATTAATACATATATAGATAGTTGATTGAAATATACAGTTTTGTACAGAATGAGAAGAGCTATC